CTCAGCTGTGCCAGTGCAACTGCCTGGGTTCTGTGGTGAGCTAATCCAGGGGACAGAAGGGTTCTCTATGCAGATGTGCACGCAGCAGCGCACGGCATTAACGTACCTGACGCTTACATCATGGCTTTTCGTGTAATTTATCATCTCTGAGTGGAGGGAGGGAGATCAATTTTGTTACTTAGATCAGGCCTCCGTTTGCTAGGCTTGCATTGCCACTGACTGTGGTGTAAATCTAATGATTTGATTTAGCATTTGATTTCCTAGGTGCATGTTTATCTGTGCTAGCCTGGAGTTAGAAACTGGAGCTTTAGCCCATACGAGATGTCAAGTGATAGAAGTTTCAGCAATCTCAGTGCAACGTGCCACAGCACAGCCGGCGCCTGCTGCTGTGGACTGTGGAACAGTCCAATCCTCAGCCCTTTCGACGCAGCTGGTAAGAGCTGCAGAATGACACAACTGATTCCTGCCGAGGTCAACTGAGCAGGAAGCAGTTCCCAGAGCCAGGGCCAGCTAGGCATGAAGTCCACCTTCCTGGCGGGGAATGACACTGTTGCAGTGCTGCCTCTCCCGGGTGAAAGCTCGGGGTGCAGCTCTCCTCTAGAAGATGTCGCACAGTCCAAATCAAACTTACCTTGCACCACCTCCACTCTGTACTCGGAGTTGAGGTATTGGGCTGTGGTTCCGTGTTGCACTGTCTCAGTTGGGTTTGCAGTGGCATAAGGTGTGAAGTGTCCTCGCAGCACAGATGGTTAAATACTAAGCTGAAACATGAACAAAAGTTGCAGTTTCAAAACATGAACAGTAAGATTGCTGTCCTCTGCTGTGTACGCCACATTCCCGTGAGCACCTGGGCACCCACGGCTCCTCAGCGGCACATCTTGTAAGGGGAGCATTTAGCTACTTCGTTATTTCTAATTTGCTACCTGTAACGTTTCCACTTACTATAGACAGAGCCAAATAGCTGACATAAATTGCTTGGAGAACCACAGCAGCGTTGTGCGTTGTTGTTCAATTATCACAGCCTGTAAAGTGAGGCTTTTAGCTTTGTTGCTGGAAAACCACCTCTATTTTAGACATAGTTTCTGAGGAAGATAAACTAAAGTTAGCTAAGACATTAAGTTGGAATATAATTTTGAAGGATGGGATCCATAAAATTGATGCCAAAGAAAGCTGGAGCCTTAAAGATCATTTCCATTACATTTTAAAATTGTTAAGTTACTGCCAAATATGCAACTACATTATTAACCTTAACTGAAGATAGGCTGTTTCAAAGTATTCCTTATTTTTGTACATTAGAGGCAGGTAAAAATAAAAAAAGCCCTAAGTGTGTAGCATAAACAGAGCAAGTAATTGAATGTGCTTCAAGTAGCTGTGCATGGTGATGCATGGAAAAGAGCTGTCTGGAAAGTCTCTCAAAGTGCTCTTAAAAGTCTTGCCTTCTAGCCTCTCGCTATGCTAAATATACTTCCAAGAAGCAGAAATGGAAAGTTTACACAATTGCTTTGTGTTTTTTATATGGCATTTGAATGGGAGATGGTATTCCTAACGTTCTGTGTGCAAATCATGTTATGTAGTGTGTAGCATTACTTAAATAAGGTTCAGTCAGCCTCAGAAGTAGCAGATTTTGTTGCAAGTACAGATGTTCCAGTATTTATTACCTGCTTCCCCACAATTCTAAAAGCTTTAGCTTGAAGTTGGCAAAGCCTTTTGCCTGTCTAAATAAAGAGTATCTCAGAGTTCTTAAGCCACATCCAGCTACATCATGAGTGTGTTAGCACACTTCTAACTGATCTCAGAAAAGATCATCACGTTGCAAGGAGTGTAAGTTATACTGAACAATCAATTTTCCTGAATCTTCCCTTCCAACATAGACTATTTTCCTACCAGCCTCTAGGAGCTTGAAATAACACACGAGCCAGTCTGACATGGCTCCACTGTGGTATAAGTAGGCTAATAGTTTGGTGGAAGCCAGAACTCTGCTTTGCTCTGCAGACTGTGCCCTGCTGTGTTTTACAGGCACGGATTTCACCTTTGGTTCACTGGAAGTGTTTTGAATGTGCGAGTAAAGCTAATGACTGCTTTTTTGTTCTTCCACTGCTCGCTTTCATGTAAAGAAGTCTATTCTTGTGCAGGGAGCTCCTGGAGGAAAGCGGACTGACTGTGGACACCTTGCAGAAGATGGGTCAGATCACTTTTGAATTTGTAGGCAACTCTGAACTCATGGAAGTTCACATTTTCCGAGCAGATCATTTTCATGGAGAGCCAACAGAAAGTGATGGTAGGTAGCTAGTGGAAGGGAAGGAAGGACGTGCATTCCCTTCTGGCACAGTATTGCTCTTAAGATGCAGAACTATTCATGCCAAAATCCCTTTGAGAAGGGAGGCAGCTGGGCTGTAGAGGGAAGCTGCTTGTTGACAGATATTCAAAGTCTAGGCAGCAAAAAAACAGGAGAAAGTCTCATACAAAGTTCTTTTCTCCTTCCAGAAATGCGTCCACAGTGGTTTCGGCTGGATGAGGTGCCATTCAATCACATGTGGGCAGATGACATCTATTGGTTTCCCCTGCTACTTCAGAAAAAGTTGTTTCGTGGCTATTTTAAGTTCCAGGGACAAGACACTATCCTGGAGCACACCCTGAAAGAAGTGGAGGAAGTTTAAGAAAAGAGAAGCATTTGGCGCATGTGCTGCTGCCCACATCAGGCTAGAACACCATGAGTACTACTGTAAGGGTCTCCTTTCTCAACTCTCCAGCAAAGGAGACTTATTTGCCAGGTCACTGGGAAGTAAGGAAAATAAGGGGGTTTCTTAGAGCAGAAAGAAAAGTAACAAGATTTTCCATGCTGTGAAGTCCCTGGCTGTGGTATACTTGATGGTTATGTGATCACAACTGTTAAAAACTTAGTGTTAACCCTTTTCTTTGCAGGTGGCAGATTTTTTAGGCTTTTCCCTCATGGCTGGAAATGTTTTTAAAAAATTAAAAATATTTTTTAGCAAAAGCATGTGTTGTTCTGTTGTAAACAGCTGGCTACCTTCTAGATGGCTTAAGGGCCTTTCAGGAGTTGGCTTCCTTTCACAGAAACATTTAAGTGGACCATGATGCAGCAGAATCAATTATCTTCTCTGTGCCAGTTCCTATACAGTCCCCTATTCAGCATTACTTCCTGGGACAAGGTGAGGCTTGACCAGCGCTGTGAAAGCCTTTTGAAAAGTTTAGGTAGAGATCCCTTTGGGATTCTCCAGCTAAAGGTAGTGTAAGGTTATAGGAGTTAAGAAAACAAAAGTCAGAGGTAGATGTATGGCACTGTTTGAGCCCTGCTTTCACTCTCACAGCTCCCACTGTGAACTTGAACTGTTTTGAGCATTTCAGGTAAAAATATGCTGAACAAAATCAACTCTCAGCAAGTCCATGGTGCGAAGTGCAGTCACCTATGGCTGCAGGCTTTGCCACGTCAGTAGCAGGAGACCTATTCAGCATTCAGGTCAGCCCAACTCAGCATGCTAGGCAGCAAAAGCTTAATCAAACTGTGCTAGAAATAACACATCACATATGTAACTTCTTACACAAGTTTTGTTTGGGTTTTTTTTTTTTTTTAAACACTTTTACAAACACATATAACACAGATAGAATCTTGGAATGTAATATAGGATCTGTAAACATTTCCAGTCTACCAGCTGTAGTAATAGTTCTTTAATTCCTGCATTTGGATAAAGTGCTTCATACATAAGGCTATTTGAGCAAAGCAAAGGTACAGGATATTCCAGGCAGGCAAAATTCACACCCTCTGAACAAGATTGTTTCTTCTTGTCTCCCTCCAGCAGTTCTGAATAATTTATACCACTCAAAAATGCCCTTCCTCATATGCTCAGTAAGCCACAGCTCAGACTTAGAGGGCAAGAATTAACACCTTAGACTCTTACTTTTCCTTTTGTGCTGCACACTGAGTTATTTAGAGAGTTTTTGATACTCCGCTTCTAACATAGCAGTAAGCTATGGCTGTTCTAACAGAGAGAATGCCTTGAGGCAAGTAGAGGAGAGAAAATAAGCACAAGGGGATAGGTAGCTTGTAACGGGATGTAAGACCTTACGGCATGGTAGGAAAGGGAGTGACTGGCAGCCGATACCTGTTAAGTTATCTTGATTTATTTCCTGGAGGAAACTGTAAATTGCATGGTGAGAGAGAGCAAGTTACTTTATGTTCCTCCAGGAGTTTAGGTAGGAAAAGAACAAGTGCGGCTCAGGCCTGCACTTCTATTTGCTATCCCCTCTTCTGCAGTCAGTTCAATCCTTTTGTAAAGATGCTTTCACCAGCACTGACTTTCAGCTCATGTCAAAGGGTGGTGACGTTAACTGCTCCTGCTGCAGTTGTGGAGACTGACATGTTTTAAGTAAGTTCTGTCCCCAGCTGGTGATCTGTCTTTTAGGAAACAGCACAAACTGAAGACTGTAAATTAGCCTGTTACAAATTCCAGGAATTACACTCTTGTGCGATCAAAGTCGAAGAGTAAAAGCACTGGAATGCAGCAAGGCACTGTTGAAAACACGTTACCACTTGGGAGGAGCAGCTTGCAAGGAAAATGGAAGGAGAGGGAAAGAAGGATCAAAGATTAAGGTTGTATTGTAAATATAGTTTGGAAAGCCTTTCAACACACGATACTGGTCAAAAAGCCTGTATATTGCCACTTCACAGCTTGAAGCAGAGGAGACAGGAGTGACAAAAACATATAGCCCTTTTGAGAAAACATTTTTCAGGCAAAGTTTCAGGTTCTCAGCTGTTTACTACTCTGGTACCTCCACGACAGATTTTGAGAGACAGACACACCGACAGACAGATTAGAGGCCTCTATCATTACTGTTTTGAACTCATGAACGTCCCCATGAGCTCAAGCAATGCACAGAGCTTCCATTCAAGAAGGCACGTTAACTCTTTGGCGCTACATCTTACAGGAGCATCAGTTCTTGGATAGGCAGCGTGCGCTCTTCAGTCAGTCTTCTGGTTTGCTTAGTGTTTATTGCCATCTACCCAGCTACCAGCAATGGAACCAAGTTCATTATGTCTTGTTCTCACCCTTGCATATAGCTAGGCTGTTTGCTGCAGAAGGCGATAGCATGGAGGTAACCAGAATTGTTTCCCCTGCATTGTCTAGGGTAGACAGACAATTGATTCCCTGCTGCATTCCTCTAGAGGAAGGAAGCTGTACTTGATGCTGCTCTCCCAGTCTGACAGATACCTAAACTAAACGGAACAAATACAGTAAGGAAATCCCTCACATATTGAGGTAAACGTCATAGTGCTATTTGCACACTGACCAGTCTCCCAAAAATAAGGTTTGCAGACTAAGGGTTGTATGAAATAGTGTATGCATGTATCTAGGAATGAGACAGAAGCTTGACATCCAGTATGAAATAAACTCTGAAAGTGCCATTAGCTGTATCAGCTTTGAGAATACTAAGCCTCTGTTCTCAAAATACTAGGTGAACAGAGTAGAATCAAAACAAGAAAACCCCACTCCCAAAACTGCTCTCCTCAAAGAGGCAAGGGCTGACAATGGAGGAATAGGTGTTTTCTCAAAACAACATAATTCCAGTTTCTTTATAGGTCATGTGGTCTGTGTTTATCATTACAGTCTCTGCATTTGGACTGTAGAATTCTTGCTCTGAAGGAGAACAGGAAAGAGGAGTTAGTCTAAAGCCCAAATGTGGCTTTGATGTTTTTTTGGGTTTTTGTTTTTTAAATAAAGTCCAAAATTGTAACTTTTTTCTAAATGTGAGAAGTGCAAAGTTCCATTCAGGCTAATACTTTGCAAGTGCTCCTACAGAACATAATCCAGTCATCTACCCCAGCCAGACAAGTTACATAGAAGATCCATCATATAGATACCGGATCTTGCTCCAAAACGTACAGTATTTTCTCAATTTGCCTGTTCACTACATCAGGCAAATAAGGCTAAATGAGGGAGGATGGGTACTAAGACTAAGCAAATGACAGGCTATAACCAGCTAGCACCTTCTCAAGATGCTAGGAGTGAAGAGCATCTAAAAATATGGTAACACACTTTCCGCACTTTAACCACAAACTACCTTCCTAATCACGAAAAGGTCAAGCAGAAAAACCTTTTGTGCCATTCTTGAGATATCATCTTCTTTGTTACTGTACTGTAGAAACATTTCCCTCCCCAGCCAGTTTGCTCTGCCCTGTGAGCAGAACCTCTTCTGCATCACTTTGGAAATCTTCAGGAGAGAGAATCAAATCTGTCACAACCATTTGCAGTTAATCTGTCTCACTGGACAAGGCCAATACGCAGGAGGAAAGACTCAGAAGAGAGTTAACATTTGAATTGCTATAAAAAGCTCTTAATAATGCATTCTGAGCAAGGTTGTTAAATAGACTCCATACACACTCCTTAAGGCCCAGCACCCAAGAAATTCACCCACATAAGTGTACTTCACCACATTTTCAGGGGTGTGTGTAATGGTTATGCCAGTCTCATGAAACTGGGCAAGTAACTTATTATCTTGCTCCTAGCTGAAGAAACTAAACCGTAAGTTCCACCTGGACCAGGAAAAGCTTCATGTTGCATTGAATTTTCTAAATTAAAAAAAAAAAAAAAGAAAAAAGCTTTTGTGATTGGAGGATTTAAATATATTTCCTGCTAATGGGGAAGTTCCCCAATGGGAAAATACTGTAATGCTTCCAGTTTGACAGCGAGCACTCATCCTTGTTAATGTGCTTCCTTTTTACCCACTCAAAGAAAATGCTAAGAAGCCAAGTCTCAAATTCCCCTTTGGCAGCTATTTTGGCCCCAGAGAAGTTCGGTTCAGGGCAGTCCCGTTCCTGTAGAGTTTTGCTGCATACGTTTGCAGTTTCTTCACTTACCAGTTTCTCTGGAGGATATGCACAATTTCCCCTCAGGTAACACACATGAAAGTTCTCCTCCCCTTACCCTCTGCCTCATGAGGGAAAGTCACCGGAGATACAAAGTCAAACATGGAGAATGTTTAGCCCCTTTATCACAATCACAAATCATTCTGAAAACCCGGTTACTAAGAACCACGCTATTTTTAGAGAGATAAAGAACTGTCACTTAATTGTCTTCTCTCCTTCACAAACACAATTCAATGCTACCCAGAGCCAGAAAAAAGAATGACAGTAACATCCTGATAAATACTGATTTTTTGCCAATGAATTTTATCAGCGTTGTGTCCCAGCCTGCTGGTGTAACAGGATACTTCATCTGATATTAGACCAAAGAAAACACCAGCCTCCGGGTCAGCAGCTCTCCAATGGTCCTGAACAGCTACTCAACAGATGGATGTCAGAACCTCCAGAAGAAGACAAACAAGCTACCTTATAGCTGTTCTGCTCGTATGGTATGAGTGGTTTACAATTACGGAGTGTTTTATTCAACTATTTTCTCATTTATGCCAGGCAAACTCCTCTGAGTTCCTGAACCCAGTCATCTTTGGCCCCAAACTGAAAAATATGAGCAAGTCCCGAGGCTGCCTTACAACCGTGAACTGAAACACACTGACAATACAGTCTGCCTAGCCTCACTGGGAAAATTACTGTCACACAGCAGCACTGACCCCTACCCAGCTGGGTTAGCGAGTCCAACCACTTCATTCACGTATTTTGCGCTAAGGTCTAGCGGTAAGAAATCAAATGCAGACACCTATCAATGGGATGGGGGATGGCTTTCAGCTTTCCTTATGCACATATGTCCCTAACACAGGCCATCCCAAGCTTAAAAGGCAATCCATCTCTACTACAAGCAAGTGCTTCAGATATCCTGTTCATCTCAGCACTTCAGAGATGTGCAGAGATGTGTCAGCGTGTGTGC